ACAAATGACATTTGAGGGGCTGACAATGCTGAACATTAATTCGAATATTAACATGACAGTGATAAATTAGAAATCGGCATTAAAAACAGTTGATCTGACGTTTGCTGTCGTTTTCACATAGCCAACTGAGCCGAAGTGACAAAAAATGTCATTTGACAGCTGTCAACGTTGAACATTATTCGAATATTAAGAGGACGGTGAAAAATTAGGAATCAGCGTTAAAAACAATTGATCTGATGTCTGCTGTCATTTTCACACAGCCAACTAAGCCAAGAGTGACAACAAATGACATTTGACAGCTGTCAACGCTGAATATTAACATGACTGTGATAGATTAAGAATCAGCGTTAAAAAACAGGAGTTATCTCACGATAGTAAAAAGTTGGTTGTATAGATCATGCGCATTTAGTTAAATGTATTGATATTGATAGCTTGTGATCATGTCAAATATATCATTCAATGGTGATTCTACGATTCTAACACTCTTGTATCTTGTGTCATAATTCTGTGCGTGTCAGTTGTCTAGTTACCGAACAAACATATTAATAATCATCCATTTTAAAAACAAAAATATAGTAATAAAAATTTAACAGAAACTTAAATTACAGAAAAATTTATAAAATATCCACACAAGTAGGTTAAAGCAAGAAAAGTAAAGTAAATACCAAACTACAGTAAATATTTGATATTTATTATAAAATTCTTTAATTTTGTTCTACCAGAAATATTGTAATATTTCAGTTTCATAAACTAGCAAGCAATGTTGCACGATCTATATCGTTCTGTCACCTGTCAAAATAAAGTAACACGAAATGCACATGATCCATGCAGCCAAAATTTAAATATTGTAAGACACTCGTTAAAAAACAGTTGGTTTTACATTTGCTGTCGTTTTTACACAGCCAACTAAGTCACAGTGACAACAAATGACATTTGACAGCTGTCACAGCCGAGCAATATTTACACGATTATTATAAATTTAAAACGAATGTCAGAACTTGTTGACGTACCAATAACACGAAATTCCACTCTGGCGGTCGAAAAACTGTCTAAATTTTAAAGATGCAGAAATGTTTGTAAACTTTTTGAAAAATGTCAACACATGTAAAATGTATTTCACAAAAAAAAATTCAATTTCTTCACTACATAAACTTTGATTTAATAGACTTATCACAATAGTAATAATAATATATACAGGGTGTTTGGTCTTGTCGTATAGTTTTTTTTTTCTAAATTATTTATTTACTTATTTAACATTTAATCGTTCGCTCTGCCCGAGCAGAAAAACACCGCGAAAAAAGTGATTCTTTACATTATTTCTTACAAAAAAAAAATATATAATATTTTAAGTTTAATTATTATCTTAGAAATCACACGTTTGTTGATTAATTAATATCTTTGAAGATTTGATGATTCGTAGAGTAGAGGGAGAGAGGGGGATAGATTTTTGGAAATGTCAAATCGATCGCTCCACAACAAAATAGAAAAAGTTACCTAAAATTAGTAGGTAATGAAATAATGAGACAAAATGGCGCTAATTATGGCGCGATCGATCTGAAAACTGTCAAAACGAATTATCAAGCGACCTCTGATGGATAAAAAAGTTAATGAAAGCTTATTTCAAATATTTTAAGTTGGTAGCATTTGTCAGTAAATCTTCTTCTTTTATTTTAAGTCTTGCTTGAAGCAATTAATCAATACAAAAGTCCACATTATCTTATTTAAAAATATATTTAAATAATCGTTACCCATGATGTTTGATAGTTGGTATTTTTAACTTTACTGAGTATATCTGTCATTTGTAAATGCATTTCCGTTGTTTACCGTTAAACGTCAAAATATCAATGTGTTATTGATATTTTGATGTTACAGATTGGTATTGTTGGTCATCCGTTAGTAATTTTGCTAATTTTCAATTTGTAACAGTTTCGTTTTACCCAATAAATCGAGGTTATATTACGTCCGACACTCACTGAAATTTAAATGAAAATACTTTTACTTTCTAAAACTCTTGAGATGTAAAGCCATTTGAATAACTGTGTGCATGCGATTTAAAACCTAATGAGTACATTCTATTTTTGGCGCCCAACGTGGGGTATATCCATAAAAGCTGTAATTAAGGCCAGTAGAGCAAATAATTTAACTACTATCATCTAAAACTATGAAATATAATAATAAATCAAAACTAGTGAAAAGCAAACCGTTTATTACATAGTCCCAAAAATATATAAAAAACATTAAATTAACAAAACAAAAAACTTGTCATCTATTTTTGTTTGTTTTAAGTTCTACTAATCTTAATTAAAGCCTTTATGGTTTGCCCCACGTTGGACGCGCCAAAAATATAAAGCAATTATATTTTAAATAGGATGGCAAAATTAATCTATTTATCAATTATTAAACGATTATTCGATTAATATTAAAAAAATGGGTAATTGAGTAATCATTTTTTAAATAATCGATTATCTCGATGAATCGATTGTTTTTGATTTTTCAGATTATCATTATATTCGATTTTGATTAATCGATTAATTAAAATAATGTAATGACCTGTTAATCGAATAATAGATTTTAGAGACAATACAAAAACATATTTTCTACTAATCCAATAAAAAATGCTCAAATTTAAATAATTTAAATAACCGAATACAACATGAAAAATAAATTAAATAATATCGATATTATCGATTTATCTAATCGATTTTCCGATTATTCGGAAATAACCAATTAAGAGAAAATAATTGATTAATCGAAAATAATCAATTAATTAAATAACCAAAAACACTCGATTAATTAAAAATCGATTATTTTTAATTAATCGATTTTCTAAATAATTTATTATTTGAAAAAACTGATAAAATATTCGATGTCTCGATTAATCGAAAACAATCGAATAAGCGAAAATAATCGATTTATCGAACATAATTGATTAATTGAATAATAGAAAATAATCCATTAATTGAATAATCGATGATTTTAAATGAATCGATTATTTTACATAATCGATTATTTTAAAAATAATATAACATTAAAAATAAAATCGATATTATCGATTTATCTAATCGATTTTCCGATTATTCGGAAATAATCAATTAAGAGAAAATAATTGATTAATTAAATAACCGAAAACACTCGATTAATTAAAAATAATCGATTATTTTTAATTAATCGGTTTTCTAAATAATTTGTTATATGAAAAAACTGATAAAATATTTGATGTCTCGATTAATCTACAACAATCGAATAAGCGAAAATAATTGATTTATCGAACATAATTGATTAATTGAATAATAGAAAATAATCCATTAATTGAATAATCGATGATTTTAAATGAATCGATTATTTTACATTATCGATTATTTTACATAATCGAATATTTTAAATAATAGATTATTTTGATAATCACCAAGCTCTTATTTTAAACAGCATCCACGATTATTTAAAGGTATTTAAATTTATAAATATTTGTGTTTTAGGGAGTAATAGTTAAGGTATTTGCATTTAAATTTAAGTGAGAAAAAAAAAACATTTTTCGAGTTAAAAAAAAACATTTTTTTTTTTTTACTTTAACTTTACTGACCATAATTCCAGCCTTTATGGCAGTGCCCCACGTTGGGCGCCAAAAATATAAGGTAATGTAAGTTTTAAACAGCATCCATAGTTGTTATTTAAACGGTTTTTTTGTATATATTTCGTAGGTTTAGAGAGTAGTAGTTAAAGTATTTGCATTTAAATTCTAGTAAAGGCCAGATGTCATATAACTTGAATTTATATCGGTTAAAATAAAACAGTTACAAATTAGAGACAGTTAAACGTCAATCAATTAATATATTATTGATGTTGTTTCGTTATAATGATAAATATACATGAAATTAACAATAATTTGATAATATACTATCAAAATAATAAAAAAACATGGAAAAAATTCCAACGTGTAAATAATTGACTACAGCAAAATATAAAGAAAATGACAACATGCACATTTCGAAAAGTCAAGGAATACAAATCTCTGCGTTGATAAAAATGACAAGAAAATTTGAATCAACTCATTAAACGGTATTCTAAACTGAAGATAATGGAAAAAATATAGATATGCACAAGGCGTATCCATTCTATCCGATATTTTTGGTTTAAAATGACGTTTAAGGAGTTAATTCAAACTTTTTATCGAATTTTAAGTTGTTCCACTTTTCTATCAACAGAGCGAAATATTTGTGAAGATGCAGATTAAACTAAGAAAGTTAGAGCTCCAAAATGTCTAGAAAAACAAGATTGGCATCGGCAAGAATTGGAAAACTGTCACTGGCCTTAGAAAACAGGCAGCTTTAAAGAATTGTAGCTTGTCAAATAATCTTGACAGCTGACAGTAGACAATCGTAATTTGACAGAAGACAAGTAGACAGAAGATAATTGACATCTGACAGACGAAAGGTGGTAAATGACAGATAAAGGTGATAAATGACAAACGACCACTCTAGTACATATCAAAATAGCTTTCAATTTCTTTTATCCATCAGGGTGGATTGAATGACTTTCTTTTTGTAAATTATTTATAAAAAATAATTTGTTCTTAATGTGTACAATGTATAAAAAAGTTCTGTTGGTCTGTAAAACGATTCGAAGAGTGTTTTTTAGAATAGGGATAAAGCAGAAACGTCAAAAATTCGATTCTTGCAGAATTTCGACGTTCTGAATTAAATTTGTTGAACTTGAGTTTAGATTTTTTAATGGCACGGATTTATTTCGACAATAATTGACATTTTTGTAAATTTGTTCGTTCTAAATAAATTTCCCCTCGATGGTTGTTGCGTCCTAATACTGACGTACTTCCCCACGTTCTAAGAATGGAAAAATACGTCCGTAACATACGGTACAAAAATTATTGTATTCAACTACAATACGGTTTAGGCGCGTTTGGATGTGTTGCAGTTCAACGAAGTTTTTTCGATATTTTGTTTTTGTAAATTTTTTTAGATTCATTTTTGGAAGGTTACGCACGTTCAGTCGTCGTCTTTCTTTTCTGGTTTGAGATCAACCATAGCGTGAAGTTCTTCGGGTGTGTACCTGTAACAAAAAAACAACAAATAAACATCATTGCATAGTAAATATTCGGTATTTGTTACAATAATGGCATAAGTCAAAACCACCGTTTTTTCCGATTGTCGCATAAAAAAACAAATGAACAGCATTGCATAGTAGACAGTTGGCATATCGTTCATTTGCATCAATAATGACATAAGTCAAAAAACGCTATTTTTTAGATTAATGCATAACAAAACATTGTAAAGTAGCTCATTTGGTACAATAATGACATAAGCCAAAAATCGTCATTTTTAGGTCAACGAATAAAAAACAAACAACATAGCATAGAAGACATATCGTGTATTTGCTGCAATAATGACATAAATCAAAAATCACTATTTTTCAGATTAATGCATAAAACCAAATTAATACCATTGCAACGTAGATAGTTGACACATCGCACATTTGCTACAATAATGACATAACTCAAAAATCGACTTTTTTTTCAAATTAACACATACAAAACAAATAAACAGCATTGTATATTAGACAGTTGGTATATCGTTCATTTGCAGCAATAATGACATAAGTCAAAAATAGCCATTTTTAGGTTAAAGCATAAAAAACAAATACATTGCATAGTACACAGATAACATTTCGGGTATTTGCAGCAATAATGACATAAGTCAAAAATCGCTGTTTTTCAGATTAATGCATAATAACAAATACACACCATTGCATAGTAGACAGTTGACATATCGTTCATTTGATGCAATAATGACATAAGTCAAAAATTGCCTTTTTCAGATTAATTCATTAAAAAACAAATAAACAACATTACATAGTAGACAGATGGCATATCGTGCATTTGTTGTTATAATGACGTAGGTCAAAAATCGCCATTTTTCAGATTAATGCATAAAAAATTACACACCATTGCACAATAGACAGTTAGCATATCGCTCATTTGATGCAATACTGACAAAAGTCAAAATCGCCATTTAATTCGGATTAATGCATAAAAACAAACTTTCTATTTATTATTTGACTGTAGAACGTCATATCTGAGGTCAAAACTTGTTGTGAGAGGGCGGTAAGTGTCACTATTGTCTCCGAACCATCATATTTTTAGTGAAAGTGATACCACTTCCAGTTCATCATCATCATCATCATCACAGGACTGCCTATGTTTCTCAGACTGACAACAATGTTGAAATCAACATCAACCAAGAAAATTCATTAATGACGATTGTCAATTAAACTTTGATGTCAACAGTACCCTCCATTTCAACTGAGAATGAAATATTAATTGTAGCAAGTTAGCTAAGAAACGTTTAAAACTAAAAGAAGCGAAAAATCGTTAGTTCACAAGAATAGTGACACAACTCAAAAAACTTCCATTTTCGAGTTTATTGTGAAAATGAATAGCAAAATCAGCATATTTTTTATGTGGAAGAACGATATACTACTTTTTCCAAAAATGATCGCTGGGGAGCGGTTGTGTCGTTCTTCCCGTACTATAAAGTCGCAAGTTTAGGATTATAAAGAGGGGCGCGAATTTAGTTGTGTTCCAAAAGTCAATTTTATGATAGAGTGACATAAATCAAAATATCCAGTTTTATTAAAAATAAACTAAGAAAATTATTTTCAATAGTGACACAAGTCAAGTTAGGACGTTACTGTTGAAAAGGTTATTATCAATTAGTGTGAAACACTTTTCTGGAAGATCGTCATAACTCCAAAGAGGGTTGAAAATATATTTTTGTTTTTTTTTTGTTTATTTTCAAAAAAGTTTTAATATTTTTAAAATGCAGGATTATCATCATGATCTTTTAAGTTGTGTCACTATTCGTGTGTACCTACTAACGTTATGTTTTAATAATATAATATTAATAATTTTGTTTTTAACAAGAATAATATAACTCAAAACAATTTTTTTTACTCCTTTATAATCCTAGCCAGCTTTCATTTGTCTCCTTAAGTTGTACAATATTATGCCAAAACTCTCATTTAATCCAAATATGATCAAAATTAAAACCCCGTTTTTTAGAGAAACTCTAATTTCCAGTAAGTCCTTATTGCAGCGAATGAGCGATATGACAGTGGACAAATAACAGTGAACATATGACAGTGGACATATGACAGTGGACATATGACAGTGGACATAAGAAAATGGACATATGACAGTTTACATGTGAAAATGGACTTATTCTTGACAGCTTTTTATGTTTATTGATAACGAAATGATGTTTACTTACCCTAACAGCGTCTGAAGATCACAAACGAATCGGTAAACGTAACGTTTGCCGGCAGTCTTATGTATAATATTTTTATCGTAGTAATAACGAAGACCGCGCGACAATTTTTCGTAATTCATCTTGGGCTTGTTCTTCCTGATGCCCCATCGCCTCGCAACTTCGTCCGGATCGGTCAGTTTGAACTCCCAGCCGTCGCCCGTCCAAGAGATGAACGCCTGACAGGATTTGTCTGTAAGGAGCTCCAGGAGGAATTGCCACAGTTGGATCGGACCTGACCCTGGAAGAAATAACCGAGTTCAATTTAGTTAAATATAAACTGAGTATAAACAAAGTTTAACGAAGTTTGACGAGGTTTAAAGGGATTTAACCAGGTTGTAACGAGATTGTGACGAAGTTGCTCTAACAAAGTTGTTTAACAAAGTCGTTCAACAAAGTCGTTCAATAAAGTTGTTTAACAAGGTAATAAAGTTTTTTAACAAAGTCGTTAACGTCGTTTAACAAAGTCGCTTGACAAAGTCGTTTGATAAAGTCGTTTAACAAAGTAGTTCCACAAAGTTGTTTAACAAAGTTGTTTAACAAAGTTGTTTAACAAAGTTGTTTAACAAAGTTGTTTAACAAAGTTGTTTAACAAAGTTGTTTAACAAAGTTGTTTAACAAAGTTGTTTAACAAAGTTGTTTAACAAAGTTGTTTAACAAAGTTGTTTAACAAAGTTGTTTAACAAAGTTGTTTAACAAAGTTGTTTAACAAAGTTGTTTAACAAAGTTGTTTAACAAAGTTGTTTAACAAAGTTGTTTAACAAAGTTGTTTAACAAAGTTGTTTAACAAAGTTGTTTAACAAAGTTGTTTAACAAAGTTGTTTAACAAAGTTGTTTAACAAAGTTGTTTAACAAAGTTGTTTAACAAAGTTGTTTAACAAAGTTGTTTAACAAAGTTGTTTAACAAAGTTGTTTAACAAAGTTGTTTAACAAAGTTGTTTAACAAAGTTGTTTAACAAAGTTGTTTAACAAAGTTGTTTAACAAAGTTGTTTAACAAAGTTGTTTAACAAAGTTGTTTAACAAAGTTGTTTAACAAAGTTGTTTAACAAAGTTGTTTAACAAAGTTGTTTAACAAAGTTGTTTAACAAAGTTGTTTAACAAAGTCGTTCAACAAAGTTGTTTAACAAGGTTGTTTAACAAAGTCGTTTAACAAAGTCGTTTGACAAAGTTGTTTAAAAAAGTCGTTTAACAAAGTCGTTTAACAAAGTCGTTTAACAAGGTTGTTCAACAAGGTTGTTTAACAAGGTTGTTTAACAAAGGTTTTTAACAAATTCGTTCAACAAAGTTGTTTAACAAGGTTGTTTAACAAAGTCGTTTAACAAAGCCATTTAACAAAGTTGTTTAATAAGGTTGTTTAACAAAGTCGTTTAACAAAGTCGTTTAACAAAGTCGTTTAACAAAGTCGTTTAACAAAGTCGTTTAACAAAGTCGTTTAACAAAGTCGTTTAACAAAGTCGTTTAACAAAGTCGTTTAACAAAGTCGTTTAACAAAGTCGTTTAACAAAGTCGTTTAACAGTCTTTTAACAAATTCTTTTAACAAAGTCTTTTAACAAAGTCTTTTAACAAAGTCTTTTAACAAAGTCTTTTAACAAAGTCTTTTAACAAAGTCTTTTAACAAAGTCTTTTAACAAAGTCTTTTAACAAAGTCTTTTAACAAAGTATTTTACCAAAGTCGTTTACCAAAGTATTTTGACAGTCGTTTATCAGAGTCGTTTAACAACGTTGTTTAACAAAGTCGTTTGAGTGATTTAACAAAGTCGTTCAAAAAAGTCGTTTAACAAAGTCGTTTAACAAAGTCGTTTAACAAAGTCGTTTAACAAATTCTTTTAACAAAGTCGTTTACCAAAGTCGTTTACCAAAGTCGTTTACCAAAGTCGTTTAACAAAGTCGTTTAACAAAGTCATTTAACAAAGTCGTTTAACAAAGTTCAGCAAAGTTTAACAAAGTATAACAAAGTTTAACAATGTTTAACAATGTTTAACAAAGTTTAACAAAGTTTAACAAAGTTTAACAAAGTTTAACAAAGTTTAACAAAGTTTAACAAAGTTTAACAAAGTTTAACAAAGTTTAACAAAGTTTAACAAAGTTTAACAAAGTTTAACAAAGTTTAACAAAGTTTAACAAAGTTTAACAAAGTTTAACAAAGTTTAACAAAGTTTAACAAAGTTTAACAAAGTTTAACAAAGTTTAACAAAGTTTAACAAAGTTTAACAAAGTTTAACAAAGTTTAACAAAGTTTAACAAAGTTTAACAAAGTTTAACAAAGTTTAACAAAGTTTAACAAAGTTTAACAAACTTTAACAAAGTTTAAAAAAGTTTAAAAAAGTTTAAAAAAGTTTAAAAAAGTTTAAAAAAGTTTAAAAAAGTTTAAAAAAGTTTAATGTTTAACAAAGTTTAATGTTTAACAAAGTTTAACAAAGTTTAACAAAGATTAACAAAGTTCAACAAAGTTTAACAAAGTTTAACAAAGTTTAACAAAGTTTAACAAAGTTTAACAAAGTTTAACAAAGTTTAACAAAGTTTAACAAAGTTTAACAAAGTTTAACAAAGTTTAACAAAGTTTAACAAAGTTTAACAAAGTTTAACAAAGTTTAACAAAGTTTAACAAAGTTTAACAAAGTTTAACAAAGCTTAACAAAGCTTAACAAAGTTTAACAAAGTTTAACAAAGTTTAACAAAGTTTAACAAAGCTTAACAAAGCTTAACAAAGTTTAACAAAGATTAACAAAGTCTAATAAAGTTTAACAAAGGTTAACAAATGACCAAATAGAACACTTTTTATATCTGATAAGCATGAATTGCAAAGGTATGGAAAAAATACAAATTATATGACATCAGTTAGATGCAGCTTGCTACTCAAGAATGCGATAAATATTAAAAAGAAGAAAAATATATAAAATATAAGATCAATGAGTATATCTATTGAAAAAAAAAATTCATCAAGATTATAAAAACTATTCTCTACTAGCATTTCTTTTAGTTTGGGTTCGAGTTTTTTACTTTAATGTCAGCGAGAAAAACATTATAAAAGTTTACATTTAAATAATTTCTGAGTGATTTAACAGTTTCTTTTGATTTTTCCGATAGTCAAAAATTGTCAGAATTGTATAAGAAAGTAGTATCGTGTATCGTCAGCAAACAATATATTTTTATCAGGTGACATGTAGTCACAAAGATCATTTATAAATATTAAAAAGATTAATGGTCCCAAAACGAATCACTGCGGTACACCATGTTCAATTTCTATAAATTTGGAAATATTAATTAAAGAATCCGAATCTGACGATACATTTTTTGTAAGTTTGAAGATAGTGTTAAAGTGCGAAATAATTAAAGAAAAATCGAATTTTTATGGTCAAATTGGTACTAAAACGATTATGGTAACAGTTATTAGAAAAATGATGTTATATTGAAGATAAAGATAAAATTGGATTTTAAAAGAAACTGAAATGCATTAAGAAATTATGCGAAAATGACGAAAATTGTAGTGTCAGTATAGTTGTTAACCAACACCATGATGGGATCCTGTTTTTTTATTCAATAGACACAATAATTGCCATCTACTTTATAGCATTTTTAAGCAAAGAACGTTTCATGGGAAGAACGAACGAGTCGTAAAAAAATGGTCGACAATAGCAAAAAGAAAAGCAAGACGACACGGTGGTAGTACCAACCTAGTAAGTACTAACCTCTACGTACATGTGATGATATACGAAGTCATTGTTTTTGGTTGACGGCCTTGGAAGAATTTATTATTAACAACAGTAGCTGTCTGCGAACGGCATAATAGCTTTTAATAATACCCCCTTGCGAATTACGTCGAGAGCTAAAACCGCGACTGGTAATCGACTTCTCGGATGAATTGTTTTTCGTCTCTCTCGATGGTCTTATTGTTGTTATTACATACCTACTTGTTATTATGGAAATTCGTAATAATTTCGCTTAATATCTCTCTTAAACACGCATCTGGTTGTTGTTTGCGGTGGAAAATAATGTGTGTACGTAGGGAATGACAATGAAAACGTTGTGTTCTCAATTAAATCGTATACAGAGTGACCCAAACCGGTAAATAAAATTCACAAACAACAAATAATTGGCATTATTATAAGTAAAAATCTAAAGAATATCCAAAAATTATTAAAGTTATAAATCTTATTATCTTAAAAATATTAATTAACCTGTCACGTAAATTCGACAGAAGGGCTGTGCCCGAAACTCTTGCCGAAAGGCCGCTCTATTTATGACGGTGCCTTCAGGACCCTGAAAAGTGTTGGGCATCCAAAATAACCACCAAAACAGTGACAACAAGAGGAAACAAATGGCAATACCACCAGCGTTAGCATGGATGCCTGCAGCAAGGCGCAGAAGGGAACAACCCCTCTCTATCATATTTTTGATAACAATAAGGTCGAGTTTTTTTTATAGTTAGAACAGGAAATAGAAAAGATGAAATATAATTGAAAACTCAATACGGTAAATACAAGTCTAAAAATTTTGGAAATCGATAAACGAGGTAAATGGGGATAGAAAAGACGTTTTTTTAATATTAAAATGGCGTAAAAAGATTTTTTGGAAGTTAGATGAGAAAAAATTTGAGAATTCTAAAATTTTTAAGATAAAAACTCAAAACGGTAAATAAAAGTCCAAGAAATTTTTGAAACCTGCAAAAAGATGTCGAAAAAAAAACAAGTGAAGAAAAAAAAGGTCGATAAAAATCAAGTGAGGATCAGAAAAAAGATCGTTAAAAAAATAAGTGAAGAATAAAAAGGTGAAGCAACAAAAGATGATAGGATCAAAAAAAAAAGTCGTTAAAAAACGGTCGATTACAAAGTAAAGATAAAAGAGATAAAAAAATAAGCGATAGGCGAAAAATGTCGGACAAATAAAAACAAGTAAAGAGAAAAAAAGATCGCTTGAAAAAGGATAAGATCAAAAAAAAGTCGTTAAAAAACCGCCGATCACAAAAAACAAGTAAAGATAAAAAAGATAAAAAAAAGTGAAAAACAAGTAAAGATAAAAAAAGTGAAAAACAAGTAAAGAGAAAAAGGTCGTAAAAAAAACAAGTGAACAGCAATAAAAAGGTCGACCAAAAAAGAATCGATCAAATCAATGGTCGATAAAAAATGTTAATTAAAAAAGTCGATCAAAAAAAAACAAGTGAAGAGCCACAAAAATGTGGACTAAAAAAAGATTGATCAAAATAAAGGTCGGTAAAAAAGGTCGATCACAAAAAAAAACAAGTTAGGTCAAAAAACAAGTGAAAAGCAAAAAAGTCGAATAAAAAAAAAATTAAAAGCAAAAAAGGTCGATAAAACACAAGTGTAGGGAAAAAGGTGGTTCAAAAAACAAGAGAAGAGCAAAGACAAAAAAAGGTCGATCAAAACAAAGGTCGATCAAAACAAAGGTCGATTGAAGAAGGTCCATCAAAAAAATGTTTAATAAAAAAGTCGATAAAAAACAAGTAAACAGCAAAAAAGATCGATAAAAAACCATTGTTCCAAAAAAAGTGAACAAAAAACAAGTAAGGAGAAAAACGGTCGATAAAAAAACAAGTGAACCGCAAAAAAGGTCGACCCAAAACAAGTGAACAATAAAAGGTCGTTTAAAAAACCGGTCGATCACAAAAACAAATGAAGAGAAAAAACAGTCGAACAAAAATTGTTAAAAAAAAGTGAACAATAATAAGGTAGAGCAAAAACGTCGTTTAAGAAAACAATTGAGGAGCAAAAAAGGTCATTAAAAAACTGTCGATCACAAAAAACAAGTGAAGAGAAAAAAGGTCGTTAAAAAACAAGTGAAGAGCAATAAAAAGGTCGATTAAAAAAAGATCGATCAGAAAAAGTTCGATAAAGAAAGGTCGATCAAGAAATCGGTCGATGGCAAAAAACAAGTGAAGAGAAAAAAAGGTTCAAAAAAACAAGTGAAGAGCAATAAAGTTCGATTAAAAAAGAGAATAAAACAAAGGTCGATCCAAACAGTTTCGATCCAAAAAAGGTCGATCACGAAAAAGGTCTATCAAAAAAAAAAAGTGAAGAGCAAAAAAGGTCGATCAACAGAAACTGTTTAAAAGAAAACAAGTGAAGAGAAAAAACGGTCGTTTAATAAAACAAATGAAGAGCAAAAAAGGAACAAAAAAGTTGTTAAAAAAAAAACAAGTAAACAATAAAAGGTCAATAAAAAACCAATTGAAGAACAAAATAGGTCGTTCAAAAACCGGTCGATCACAAAAAAACAAGTGAAGAGAAAAAATTGCGATAAAAAAAACAAGTGAAGAGAAAAAAGATCGTTAAAAAACAAGTGAAGAGCAATAAAAAGGTCGATTAAAAAGATCAATCAAATAAAGTTCGCTAAAGAAAGGTCGATCAAGAAAACGGTCGATGGCAACAAACAAGTGAAGAGAAAAAAAAGTCGTTAAAAAAAAAACAAGTGAAGAACAATGAAAAGTTCGATTAAAAAAAGAGAGATCAAAACAAAGGTCGATTAAAAAGGTCGATCCAAACATTTTCGATCACAAAAAAGGGTCTATCAAAAAACAAGAGAAGAGCAAAAAAGGTCTATTAACAGAAACTATAAAAAAAAACAAGTGAATAAAAAAGTGAAGCAGAATAAGTCGTTCATAAAAACCGGTCGATCACAAAAAAAACAAGTGAAGAGAAAAAAACGGTTCAATAATAAAATAAGTGAAGAGCAAAAAAAGTTAAAACAAAACAAGTAAACAACAAAAGGTCGATGAAAAATCAATTGAAGAACAAAATGGGTCGTTAAAAAACCGGTCGATCACAAAAACAAGTGAAGAGGAAAAAAAGGCGATCAACAGAAACTTAAAAAAAAACAAGTGAATAGAAAGTGGAGCAAAAAAGTGTCGTTCATAAAAACAAAAAAAAAACAAGTGAAGAGAAAAACGGTCGATTAATAAAACAAGTGAAGAGAAAAAAAGGACGAGCAAAAAAGTTGTTAAAAAAACAAGTGAACAATAAAAGGTCGATTAAAAATCAATTGAGGAACAAAATAAGTCGTTAATAAACAGGTCGATCACAAAAAACAAGTGAAGTGAAAAAAGGTCGATAAAAAACAAGTGAAGAGCAATAAAAAGGTTGATCAAAAAAACGGTTGATAAAAAAACGTCGATAAAAAAAGTTCTATAAAAAAGTCGATCAAAAAAGATCGACCAAAAAAAGTTCGATAAAAACAGTGAAGAGAATAAAAAGGTCGATTAAATAACAGTGATTAGCATAAAATGGTCGATTAAACAAACAAATGAAGAGTAAAAAGTCTTCAAGAAATTTTATAATTTTTCTAAGGATAAAACATGATAAAATAATAATGATCATTCATTGAATATCATATAGAAAACCATAGATGATTTCGCCGAAATCATACGAATTTTTTGACGATTTCCAAAATAGATACATATAGATAAGCAACGATTAAAAATTTACCAGACAGGTACTTTATAATAAAACAATCAACCTACCTGTAAAGCAAGGACCTCCTGTAGTGGGGTTACCGGGATAGCCGGTGATCATGCCGTTCTGGATCATCGGCTTGGTGTCCTGCATGGCGTTGAGTTGGTCTCTCGTCATGCCAGCGGACAGGAAGGCGGGATGGGTGTGCGGATGGTGGCCCAGCGACAATTCGTGGTTGTGGCCCCATTGTTCTGGCCCGCTGTTCGCCCCGCTCGGCACCGTCTGGAAGGGGGTAGCGTCGTAAGGGGCTCCGTACGTGTCCGAGTAGACGTCGTTGAATCGTCCGCCCGAGCCTGCGAAAAACGAATTGTTTTAATTAAAAAAAAAAAATTAAAATATAATTAAATGGAAATAAAAAAAAGAAAAAGAAAAAAAAAGGAAAAGAAAAAAAGAGAAATGAAAAGAAGAAAAAAAGAGAAATGAAAGGAAGAAGAAGAAAAAAAGAGAAATAAAAGGAAGAAGAAGAACAAGAAATAATTAAAAAATAAAAGTATATTCAAATTTTCATTTCGGTTTTGTAATAATTTGACAAAACTTTGTCTTTTTACTAATAAAATTTTTACTAATAAAAAGAAAAATGAAGAAAAATTAAGAAAACGTAAAAAAAATTAAGAAAATTTAAGAAAAATTGAGAAAAATTAAGAAAAATTAAGAAAAATTAAGAAAAATTAAGAAAAATTAAGAAAAATTAAAAATGAGTAAATATGAAGAAATATAAAGAAAAACGAAGAAAAATGAAGAAAATAAATAAAGTGAAGCAAAAAGAAGAAATATGAAGAAAAACGAAGAAAAATAAAAAGTAAAAAAAAAATGAAAAACAATTGAAGAAAAATGAAGAAAAGGAAAATAAAGCAAAACGAAGAAAAGTGAAGAAAATTGAAGAAACGTGAAGAAAAATGAAGAAAAATTAATTAAGAAATATTAAGAAATATTAAGAAATATTAAGAAATATTAAGAAATATTAAGAAAATTAAGAAAAATGATAAATGAAAAATATACAATGTAAAACCTACTTTTTATATTGACTAAAGAAAAATGAAAAATGAAAAAAAAAACAAAGAAAAATGAAGAAAATTAAGAAACATTAAGCAAAACGAAGAAATATGAAGAAACGTGAATAAAATTGAAGAAAATTGAAGACAATTGAAAAAAATTGAAAAAAATTGAATAAAATTGAAGAAAATTGAAGAAAATTGAAGAAAATTGAAGAAAATTGAAGAAAATTGAAGAACATTGAAGAAAATTAAAGAAAAATTAAGAAAAATTAAGAAAAATTAAGAAAAATTAAGAAAATCGACGAAAAATAAAAAATGAAGAAAAATAAAAATTAAGAAATATGAAGAAATATGAAGAAAAATTAAGAGAAATGAAGAAAAACAAAGAAAAATTAAGAAAAATGAAAAATAAAGAAAAATTAAAAATGAGGAAATATGAAGAAAAACGAAGAAAAATTAAGAAAAAAATAATGAAGCAAAACGAAGAAGAAAATTAAAGAAAAATTAAGAAAAATTAAGAAAAATTAAGAAAAATTAAGAAAAATTAAGAAAAATTAAGAAAAATTAAGAAAAATTAAGAAAAATTAAAAAAAAATAAGAAAAATTAAGAAAAATGACATGAAAAATATACAATGTGACTTTTTTATATTTTGACTAGCAGTGTATAAAATAGCTTTTTAATTGCTGTTGACATTCAATTTGAAAACTTATTACTAAAAATATATTTTAATCAAATTTGGGACAAAGTAATTTTAGATAATTCCGAATCGACTAATGTAATAAACAATTTACAGGGGTAGTTTAATTTCATAGTGTACGACAAAACAAACAAACTTACTTCTAACGTAATTTTTGACATAACTATGAGGATTGTACTTCTGCTCTAAAATGTGATTGGGGTAAAACTCCGGCGAATTGTCCATATACTGCTGCTGGTGGTTGTCCAGCGCCTGGTATTCGTGTTCTTCGGGAGAAAAATGGGGATTTTGGAACAAGTGCGACCCGTCGTCGTTATTCAAGGTCGGCAAATTGTTGTCTATCGCTCCGAAGTTGCCCCCTGACGAATCGCTTCCGGGGGGACACGTCCCTTTATAACCTGCAAGAAAAAAAATTGTTTCGTCAGAAAAATATTAAATGCAAAAAACAGGTAAAAGAGAATACAATTTGGAAACCATGACATTTACAAATTCTAAAAGAAAATAGAGCCCAAAAATGGTTAAGTGCAGTCAAAATTAGAGCATAAAAACAATTGTGAGGTCAGTATGCATCAGAAATATGGATAATTATAAAATAATATGGAAAAGAAATATTCTTAACTATATTTGATGGTGTCAGAACAGCAGAATGTATCTGGAAAGTGCCCATCTTCTTAAAGAAATAATGAACATATTCAAGAAACAAAAAATAACAGTGTTAGATCACAAAGAGCAAGATGGTATGTCCCTCGAATGTCATACCAAAGAATTGTAAAAATGAATGGAGAAAATGGTGGGAAACGAGAAAGACCACAGAAAAAATTGTTAGAAGAGGTCTAATAGATGAGATTGGAAAGAAGTAACAAAGACCAAAAGAAATGGAAAGGAATATAAAGAAAATTTAATACAAGGGTCTCTAAAACCTGTGGAGCTGAAGTATAATACTGATGTGGGACTGATTTTGAGTAATTTCTTATTTATAATAATGATATAATAAAATTAATGACGTAATTTTAAAAAAGTCAAAATTGAACAATTTATATTTGGTTCTGATAAGATTCAAATTAATTTTTTTAGTCAGATTAAAAATGATTTGATACGAGCTCTCTATAGAAAGGAAATTAAAAATTGTTATGGGTTTGAAAATTTGCAATCGATAAATTTTGAATTTTTTGTTTATAAAACTCATATTATAGTTAAAGTTGAAGATTTTTGAAAAATTTAAACAAAGACAATAAGAAAAAATCTGATGTGTCCAACACATGACTTTCCTATCTAGTTATATAAATGTTTAGAGGATAAACTAAATGTATACATTGTCCACATACATCTACCTCGAAACATTTTTCTATAGATATTCATGGAAAACGAAAATACTGAAAAATTTTAATTTCCTACAATTTTTTCATTACGGTCCATTTTAGAAAAATCATGTATAAACAAAAATTATAGAGATCGATATCGCAAACAACTTTTATTTCAAAAACTTTCATAATAAAAATCAGAATTTTGCACATTTTGTCAAATTTCTCGAATACGGACCATTTCAGGAAATTTTTACATAAAACAAAAATTACAGATAATAATATTAGAAGTAACTTTTATTTGAACAATTTTCCTCTCCAAACATAAATAACAGATATATTCCATAAAATATAAAAACGGCCTCCCATAAAGTACCCCCCCAGATGTTCCGACTTTGTCCAAAATCTAATCATTTCACTTCAGGCCGAAATAAACCTTAAGTTTAAAATTTAATGTTTTTTCTTTATCCGTTTTTGAGTTTTTTCAAAATTCGAAATTTACACATTTTCTCAAATATCTCGAATACGGTCCATTTTAGAGAAATTATGTAGAGATTAAAAATTATAGAGAATTATATTACAAACAACTTTTATTTGAACAATTTTTATAAAAAAATATTTTTTTTACATTTTGTCAAATTTCTCGAATACGGACCATTTTAGGAAAATTTTGTATAGAACAAAAATTATAGATAATAATATTAGAAGTAACTTTTATTTAAAGAATTTTCTTCTCCAAACGTAAATAACAGATATATTCCATAAAATATAAAAATGACCACCTATAAAGTACCCCCCCCAAATGTTCCGACTCTGCCCAAAATCTAATCAGCTCATTAGACGCTGAAACAAAGCTTAAGTTTAAAATTTGGTGTTTTTCTGTGTATCGGTTCATGAGTTATGCGTTATACAGACACACACACACACACACAGACACACACACACACACACACACACACAGACACACACACACACAGACACACACACACACAGACACACACACACACACAGACATCATCGCGAAAATAGTCAAAACGGATTCAGGGGACCTCAAAACGTAAAAATCCGTCGAAAACTCGAGGTCGAAAAAAATCATGATTCCTATACTTTCCTTATATCTGTATACAGATAGGAAAGTAAAAAAGGTAAATGTCAGCCTGATTTTTTTTTTTTAATTTTTTATTACTGAATGTGGTGGAAGTAAGAATATAAAATTAGATATTATAAAAAATGGATATTAGATAAATAAAAGTGAAGAAATATGGATAGAATTCAGCAGCGACCAGACAGAACTGTTTCGAGGTGAAAGATATTTATTTTGGTGTGTCAAAATTTAAAATTGTGAGACATAGAGAGTTTAGGGAGGTACATGCTGTAAGATTTTAAAAAAGAATATATAAAAATTTAATTGGGCAACTTTTTTTTTATTTTTTCTTTGTTCATAATTGTTGATAGTAAGAATGAGCGAAAGCACTCAAATTTTGAGATTAAAATCAATAAGTAAATTAAAAATACGGAAAAAATTTTAAAATAGTTATCTGTTAGAAAAATGGTTTTGCATATTTTTACTTTTTAAAAGATTTTTGATACGTTTCTTTTGTTACTCTAAATTTCTCAAGTAGGAGACTCAGTGATAAATATAAAATTTTCATCCACTAGAGAATTTGGTGAACAATTTATAATATCTTAAAATATATTAAAAAAAAAATATTTATTTTGGATACAATTACTAGACATATAAAACATTTGGTTTTGGCAGTCTACATGAAACGGTAAATTTTGCCCATTTTGTTGTGCAAGTAGGTAGGTACCTAGACGTACACAAAAACAACCATTTTTATCGCCATTTTCTACTTTGTATACTGTACCTACTCTAAATATCATATTTCAACCAGCTGGAGGGGTCCAACTAGACCCTCTGTTGATAACAAAAAGAAGAGCAACCCCAATTTTAAGGGGTGCTTCCCTACACAACGGTACTATCCCTATTTGAAATAACTCAAATTTAAATACCTGTGTATGTCTTTAATGTAGACAAATAATTTATGGAAAATGTTTCAAATTGCAATATTAAAAATACTTAGGTTTATTAATTTTTAATATTTTTCTTAGTGTATTTAAAATAATTAATCTAATACAATATATAATGCCCTAAATGTTTTTTATTAAATTTTTCTTAAATAATCATTTATTCTACACTAAAAAAAATATACCAAATTTAATTTTAATTTCATATTTTTCAGAAATTATTCAAATTTTGGTTTTGTAACAATCTGACAAAAGTTTATCTTTTTACTAGTTACATTTAGGTGGAAATTTTAAAATTTAATGCTACATAAAAGTAAAAATTAAGAGAATTTAAGAAAAATGAAGAAAAATGAAGAAAAATGAAGAAAAATGAAGAAATGAAGAAAAATGAAGAAAAATTAAGAAAAATGAAGAAAAATGAAGAAAAATAAAGAAAAATGAAGAAAAATGAAGAAAAATGAAGAAAAATGAAGAAAAATGAAGAAAAATGAAGAAAAATGAAGAAAAATGAAGAAAAAGAAGAAAAATTAAGAAAAATTAGGAAAAATTAAGAAAAATTAAGAAAAATTAAGAAAAACGAAGAAAATTAAAGAAAAATTAAGAAAAACGATGAAATTTGAAAAAATTAAGAAAAATAAAAAAAATAAGAAATAACGAAGAAAAACGAAAAAAAATTAAAAAAATTAAAAAAAGAAAGAAAATGAAGAAGAATGAAGAAAAATTAGAAAAAATTAGGAAAAAATAAGAAAAATGAAAAGAAAATGAAAAAAAGGATGAAAAAACAAAAAAGAAAATAAAAAATAAGAAAATAAAGAAAAATAAAGAAAATGTAGAAACATTTAGAAAAGTGTAAAAAATAAATATAAAGTAAGAAAAATCAAGAAAAACTAAGAAATAGGAAGGAAAATTATCAAAATGGAGAAAAAATAAAAAAAGGAATAAAGAAGAAAAACGAGCAAAAATTAAAACATTAAGAAAATGAAATATTAAAAAAAAAGAAAATTAAGAAAAATTAAGAAAAATTAAGAAAAATTAAGAAAAAAAAAAGGAAAAAATATAGAAAAATGAAGAAAAACGTAGAACAATGTAGAAGAGTGCAGAAAAATGAAGAAAAAGTAAGAAAAATTAAAAAACGAAACAAAATAAGAAAAATGAAGAATGAAAAATATACAGTGTGACCACTCAAACTGTAATAGAATACCTACTTTTTTATATTTTGACTAGCAGTCATGGGCGAAGTTAGGGGAGGGCTTGGGGGGGCTAAGCCCCCCCAAAAACCAAATTAGCCCCCCCAAAAATAATTCGAACATTTATCGCACATCTACTCATACATTTCAGATTTTAGAACAGAAATTAAAAAATAAAAAGAATCGTGCCATTTGATTGATTCTGCAATTTTACATTTAGCTCAGGAGGCAGTGAATTTTTTTCGTACCTACTCATTTTTCCAGTACGTGTATATGAGTAACAAAAAACAAAATTTTTGAGTCTGACTCTTATTTTCCCAGTCATAAATATTATACATTTACTAAACTAGAACAAAAAGTTTATAAAAATAGCAGTTTGGATTATCTCAGATAGTGGAAAGTGAGTGTGGCATAAAATTTAGCATATAAATTGATACAATCATGAAATGTTAATAATAATGTCTGGCTGATTTACGAAATTGGCAAATGAGTCTGGTAACATCTTCAAAATCGAAAAAATATAATATTTTTGCTTTTATTTTCCCGGGTTTGAAAATTTGTCACGTAATAGATAATATTGTAATTTTACACCTCTATTTTATAGCCGATCAAATGCTGTTATTTTAAAACGTTTCCATGACAACTAGAAAAATTTCCGTTAATTTTCCTATTGGTGGGTACCCTAAACGAAATTATACTGAAAATTTTTTTGAAAGTTGAGAAGCCCTTCCATGCATAAAATATTACGACGCAACGCGATAGTGTGATTAAAAATTTGCCGTTTTAGTGGTTAATATTTTATTTAATATCAATTATAACTAGGTAGAAATACACTACATTTATTTTAAGTAAAATAATAATGAGGTTTTTCGCGTCAACTAAACGACTTCAAATATGACAAATGGTCATGGTATGGCCACAGCATTTAAAAATATATGTTTTATATGCTGTGGTATGGCCACCTTCGAAAATTTGATTTTAGTCGTTTTAATGTATGTCTGTCAAGTTTTGAAATTTGGATATTTTGGTGTAAAATTTTCTTACCCAATACCACATGTGCTTAAATTATTATAAGTAAATTTTTGCTCACTCACGCATATTTTAAGAAACTTATCCATCGTCTTCGAGTAAATTTCAAAATATTCTTAAGTTTGAAAAAATTTCCGGAAATAATTTAGTCACTAGTGGTATTCTAAGTGAAAATACACGTCTGGCTGAAAATTACAATCACGAAGGCCTGCCAGACTCACAAGTAGTGTCTGACCGAAGGTTCGGTTACGGTTTCGGCCAACTTCGGCTTAAAATTAGAGTTTCGACTACAGTTTCGGTTTCGACGGAAAACTGGCCGAAATTGCAGTCGACAGCAAAACTACTTTCGAAAGTTTTCGTATCACACTTGGTTGTGTCCTGCACAATGGCGACTGTGCCGGGTGCCATTCTTACACAGTGCACGTACACACAAACATCTCTGCTTTGTTTCAAGTGAACAGTCTTTAGTGCTCCTGGCCTAATTTATTCGGATCAAAGGAGCAATTTTTAGGTGAAAACGTGGAAAAATATTTTTTTTTACCCTACAACGTTAGACTGTTTAATTTAATTATAAGTAACAAACATATTTAATCCGCTGAATTTGTTTATTTTTTTTTTTTTTTATAAAAATTATACATTATATATAATTCTCTTCATAATACTATTTTTTGTTACAAAATATCTACTACAGATGCAGAAATGATTGATACTTTGTAATTCACTTACTTTTTTTTTTAATTTTAAAAGTAATAAAAAAAAGAATGTCCATAAATTTATTAATGGCTACTTTTGATCACTAAAAATAAATAGGTAATAAGTAAATGTAGCTTAAATTTATAATACGAGTTAATTAGTCTAAAACAATAAGATACTGCAAATTTCAATAAGAGATTGCCTTAAAACAAAGTTCTTGTTTCTGTTTCGGTTTCGGCCGAAACTAAGAAAGGAGCCGAAATTTAGTTTCTGTTTCGGTTATAAAACCATATTTTGGTCGGACTGACAAGCCAAATAGTTAAACGAGGAGAGGAATAGCAATCAAACGTGCCGAATTTAGCGCGCCTGGCGATCATTAGATGAGTCTGGCAAGGCTTTCGGGGTGTTCCACATTAGCCAGATTGTATTTGAAGTTGTTTTCATATTATACATGTTTCTAGTAGTGAGAACACTTGTAACAGGGATCCTTACTGGACAATAAAAACTAAAAGGACACCTTAGTAAACTGAGATTAGTAGAAGATAGTGACTGCAGATTCTGTGAGGAGGACGAAACCTTCGTTCACATTCTAACTGAATGTGTAGCACTCCAATCAAAGGGCACTATACCTAGGAGCATATAAAATAGAAGAGGGAAATTTACCTAACTTGAAGCCACTCCAAATCCTACACTTCCTTGAGAAAACATAATTGGAAGGATCGTTATAGGCATCGAGACATTTCCGTGCTGCATAAGCGACAGAAGGGGGCACAATAGATCTTTTAGGTCGCAGTGTATTAACACCCCATTCCCAATATAACATAGTGAGAAAACTGCAAAAAAATGAAATCCACCAATCACAATTCATATTTTGGACACCCAACTACTATTATTTTTAAAATTTTAAATTTTGTCAGTATATTTTTTAGACATTAAGATTACATACGTTAAAATTAGTTATTTTTGTTTAGAATCGATAAAAAATGGCATTTTTATTTTTATTTGGGCCACATTTAAAAAAATGAATTTTAATCAAATTGTATGAAACTGATTTAATTACGAGTATTAAAACTAAAAACCTGGAGTGGAGTGAAGCAGAGGACAGAGCATCTAGATTCCACGCGAATAGCCTGGGTTCGAATCTGGACAAGGGGCTTATTTTATGTTTATTATATTTTATAAATTAATAAAATTCATAAATTATTTTAAAATTAGTTATTTTGTCTAAACCTAAAATAATTTTTTAAATTTTTATATTTTCCTTAGTGGTTCATAGAAAAAATATACTCTACAACTCGAGTGAATTGTCCATATCTACTCTTGTTGCACAAACTACTATTTCGTGACTGCGAAAATGAGGAAATTTTTTTAATGAATTATTGTGATGAACATTTTTCAGGTTTTTTACTTGATATAAATATATATTATATATGATATTTTATCCATTTTCATAGATTCGCCAGAATTTTTTTACTTAACTTCAGTATACCTCTAGAACTATTATATATTATATGACTAGGGCTAGGGCTTTAGCCCCCCCAGATCTGATGACATAACTTCGCCCATGCTAGCAGTATATAAAATGTCTCATCTTGCAATAATAAAAATACTTTGGTTTACATTTTTTTATTATTATTTTTCTTAGTGTACCTAAGATAATTAACCCAATACAATATAAAATACCCCAAATCTTTTTTTCGGTTAGTTATTTCATTAAAATTTTCTTAAATAATCATTTAATCTACACTAAAAAAAAAATAAAATTTTTCGAAAATCATAAATAAATTTTTAAAAACTACCCCCACCAAAAAAATAAAACAATTTTTGTTGAAATAAAAGCTTTAAAATCTTGTTGAAAATAAATAATTTGAAATGACAAAATAATAGATTTAATTTTACACTGTTTTGAAACAATCATTGCATTTATTTGTATCAAAGAAATATTTATTAGGAGAATAATATGGTATTGCTCAGGGTAATTTTAGCTACTGGTAACGCGTTTACAACTCGTTATAGATTCTCGCTGAGTAGTGTTATTATCCAGACACAGACTTAATATTGTTCTAATTAAAAAGTGTTTAATTTATCTTTAAATGTAAAGGATTTGTTATAAAAAGGGACTTACCGTCTTTGAGATGGTGATACGCGGGACTCCGTTGCAACTGTTGGAGGTAACTAGAAGGTGGGGCACCTGGAGGCGGCGAACCGTCTTCCCGTAAATCTTCGGGGGGTGGTGGACAGGCGGGACTCCTCAATTGGCCATAAACTCCTGCAACAAATTATATATTTTTAGTTGGTTTTAAAATAAAACAACTTCTGATAGTTTTACTATAAAATTAAGAGACTACTACTCTATCTGCATTACTCTCTTATGCAGAGTTATGTGTTTTGAATGACATTTAGTACAGTTTAGCTCAGGGATTCCCAAATTGATCGAAATCGGATTGAAAAAGAATTTAGTTATGCAGTTTATGAATAGGTATTTTAAAAAATATTTATTTTAAATTTTGAGTTTCCTATGTTGGTTAGGTACCCTATTCGACATTGAAAGACAATTTTTGAGAATGCAATTTTTCAACTGTTAGATTTGTTATCAATGCATAATAAACGTGTGTAGGAATTTCTAATAAAGGAAATACAATAGTAAAATGTCCACTAGATCGAACGATCCGAGATCAGGATCATATTCTTTCTTAGTGAATTCTAAAAAAAAGGTCCTCAAACCAGGTCCGCCCATTTGTAGCGAACTCCCTCATAGTACTGCTCACGTTTTTTTTATTATGTCTATTATTTTCTTCGCGTAGCCCCCACAAAGGCATTGCAGAGCCCCGGGGCACAGTAATTAAACTACTTTTTTTTCTACAGTAATTCTATTCAACTACTTTTTGAAAGTAGTTTATCCAGCTCTGGGTACCTATTAAGATTTAATTGCAAAGGAATTTCCTCTAAAAAAATCGCTTTCTTTAATGTCTACCAAAAAATCCAATCCACATCGCAATTTCCTCCCAAAATCACCCACTAGTAACCAAACTAGATCAACCCATTCAAAAATCTCCTCCACCGCCTAACCAATCAAACGTAAATCTATACCGAACTTACATTATCCCGTCGCCGCCGATCGTGGGAGTCCACGAATCTAAAACAAACGCTTATCGGTTGCCAATAGAAACGAGTCGATTTACTGCCGGATCGGAAACGAGACGAAAATCGCGCAAAGCCAAGGTTGATCGCGCGCGCGGAGAGATGTATCGAGAGATGACCAGCGCCGGCGAGCGAGAGAGAACAGGTGATGCAGGTGTGGCGGCGCGACGGAGACAGTGTAGCTCGGGTTTGGGGATTGGCCGGTACGTGATCCGCCTCTTTATGGTGATCGTCTAATTGGGAAGCTGCGCGCCACGCCCTGCCCCTCGACCGTTGGTGGTTGCGGTCGGGGCGATTGATTGTCCGTTGGATTCGGATGTGGATTCGGGGATTTTGGGATGGGGTTTCTACACTGAGAAAACCGGGGTTCTTATATCTAATCAAGTTATAAGAAAGATAATAATAATAATATGTACATTAATGCTATTTGAAAAATAAAAAATGTTTAAATATTATAGATATTAAAATCTAGTTACAAAAATTCATTATTAGCAAATAATTTTAATAACTTCTTTACTTTAATAGCTCTAGTAACACAATAAAAAATATTCCATTACTTTCAAAAGAAGTAGTGTTTTTCTAAAATCAGTACCTTGCTCACATGAAGTCATAATTAAACAAAAGCAACGTTCTACAACGAAAATTTGATAGATTTTCTGGTCGAACCACCTACAAATTTAATAAATAACTGTCACTATAGAAGTATTTTTCCCGGTGCTTTTAAAATTGCAAAACTTTTACCTTTGCATAAAAAGGGGGATAATTAAATGAGGTTGACAACTACAGACCAATATCAATAAAATTGTTGAATTTTCGAAACCAATAGAAATTTGTATAAAAAAATAGACTGACTATACACAGCATCGTATGGTTTTAGAAGAAATAGATCTAGAAGCTGTTTGAAATCGTGAAATATATAGTAAGGGGTGGTTTTTAGGAACCTCAACATTCGCTTCCCACGATGTGTGACCTTTCCAAGGCGTTTGACTGTGTATCACACGAATTTCGGTTAGAGAAACTTGATAATCATGGTATTAGAGGTTAAAATTATCGGTTTACTTTAAATAGGACACCCTATATTTTTGCATAGCACCTGAAAGTCCCTTTCTTCCCCTTTTCAAAAATGTATACAATGTAATATTTCTTAATGGTTTGGGGGATGGCGTCCCTTTTGAACTTAGTAAAATCTTATTTGGAAAGAAGACAACAATTTGTCCACTTAGAAAATAATACAAAATCTATTTTAAAAGTGTTTCCCAAGGGTCTGTTCTGGGGCTATATACATCAATGATTTCTTAAGGTTACTGCAAGGCAAGACAACAAAATGTCATTTAATTATTTTTGCTGGTAATAAATACATCTTCTATTACTTTTAATGTCAAATTAGGAAACTTGGTTGATGAAATGTTTTTGGTTGATAAATTGAAGCTAAAGAAGAATAAAACTCTGGTAACAATCAGATCAAAATGGGAAATCACTGCAAATTGCTGGGTAAAACATTAGATAACTATCTAAATTGGGTGTTCCAAATCAAAGAAGTAAGTTAGGAACCATCCAGTATTCTTTTTTTACTCAGATATCGTAAAAAAGAATTTATTTCGGATTCTGTGATTGCTCATGGTACAATTTTATATGGTATCTCCATTACCCTGTACAACAAATCTGATGTGTCCAACACATAATTTTCCTGTCTAGTCATTTCAGGTTTTCTTCCGTTATTTTGTACAACCTATTGCATCACCCCTGTAAATGTTTAAATACATACATTTTCAACACACTTCTTACTCGAAACATGCATGAAATCAAAATTATAGAGAATAGCAACAACTTTTGTTTGAACAATTTTCTTAAAAATTCTAATTTTGCACTTTTTCTCAAATATCTCGAATACGGTCCATTTTAAAGAAATTATGTATAGGACAATAATTATAGAAAATGACATCATAAACAACTTTTATTTGACAAATTTTCTTAAAAAATTCGAATTTTGTACATTTTGTCAAATTTCTCGATTACGGGCCATTTTACTAAAATTATGTATAGGACAAAAATTATAGAATAATATTACAAGCAACTTTTATTTGAAGAAATTTCTGTTCTAAGCGTAAATAACAGATATATTCCATAAAATAGAAAAACGACCTCCTTAAAGTACCCTCCAGATGTTCAGACTATGCCCAAAGAATTTTCTTCTCAAAGCGTAAATAACAGGTATATTCCCTAATATAGAAAAAAGGCCCCCATAAAGAACCCCCCCAAATGTTCCGAATATGTCCAAAATTTAATCAGTTCACTGCAGGATGGATTTAAGCTTAAAAATATATTTCGGTGTTTTTCTCTTTATTCGTTTTTGAGTTATCCTTAAATTTCTAAAATATCACTTTTTTAAATATCTCGAATACGATCCATTTTGGAGAAATTATCTATAGAACAAGAATCATAGAAAATGACATAACAAACAAATTTTATTTTAACAATTTTCTTAATAATTAATTTTTTTTATTTTTGTCAAATTTCTTGAATACGGTCCATTTTAGGAAAATTTTGTATAAGACAAACACTATATAGAATAATATTACAAGCAACTTTTATTTGAAGAAATTTCTGTTCTAAGCGTAAATAACAGATATATTCCATAAAATAAAAGAACGACTCCCCATAAAGTACCCCCCCCCCCCCGAATGTTCCAACTATGCCCAAAATTTAATCACTTCACCGCAATTATTACCACAAAACGTTAGGCGTTCATTATTTAATAGTTGTAGGTTGAAAACAATGAAAATCTAAATACAGAGTGTCAAGACTGACCTGTCATTGTCATCTGTTCGTCGAATCAAAATGAAGACTTTTTTAAGTTAATTTTTATTTCTATGTTGTATGTACCTCTGCCAAGGCTTGGACACGTGTAGAATTTTTGAAAATTCTGTAGAATTTTTGAAAATTCAGTATTTCAAGTATTTGTATTTGGTTTAACATTTGTCAGATCAATATGTGTGCTCTATGTTATTTCTAACAATTTTTTTTGTTTTTGTTTTCTCATTGTTAAATCTTCTATAGTCTATTTTTATGTATGAGAGAGTATTAAAATAATAAAGCGTTCGTAATCCATAGGCGTATCACTTCTTTTAGTAGACAGTTAAAATATTTTTTGAAGTTATTCCTCGAGTATACACTTATATTTTCACCTAATTAACCTGCTTATAACTTCTAAACAGCTGAAGGTAAAAAAGTGCAATTTTTTTCTAAAATGTTTTATTTTTCCACAAGGTATGTTAAGAACATTGTGTCAAACGGGTTATGTAGGTATAAGGGTTTAAACTTTGACTTTTAAACAACGTTACGTTCATAAATAATACTTTTAATATAAAAACTACTTCTTACCTACAAATCCAAATCAGAATCGAAATCAGAAGATGAACTGTCGCAACCAAAATTTACAATGAGTGGCTCGATCATTTCATCAGTAATATTGTCCAACTTCCACATTTTCTCTTCTTCTTTAATCGTATGATTTACTGCCTTTTCCCAGTTTTCAGGCTTCACATTATTTACAGCCTCCAAAAACAACTGTTTAACATCACTCATTTTAAAAGAATTATTTTTTCTTGAAACTTCTCCCTTTATCTGTACCCATATCAGTTCAATCGGGTTTACTTCGTAATGATATGGTGGTGATCTAACCACCGTCATCCCACGATTTTTTGCAATTTCATCAATTTCATATTTTTTGAATTTCTCTTTATGAAGGGAACACAAATGATACAGTTCTTTTCTCACAGAACCGGGATGGAACTTAATATTCTTTGAATTTAGCCAATTCTGTAAATCTTTTATTAACCACTTGGTTGTGGGCATTTTTTCTATAAGTCTCGAGTGATAACTTGCATTATCCATTACTATTTTACAGTTCTGAGGAAGAAGATCTATAATTTGTTCGAACCACTCTTTAAAGACATTAGCATTCATGTCCTTATGGTAGTCACCGGTACGAGTAGATTCAAAAGTCAATAAACCACCTTTAACAAAACCGTTTGAACTACCGATGTGTACTATTATTAGTCTGCGCCCCTTTCCTGATGGTGGATTTAAACCAGTAGATAAATTATTTAAAAACGCCTGTCTTCGACT